AGTTGGAATTCACCTTATGGCAGGTGTTGGGTTTTTTTTGTACCTAGCAATTGGCCTTGGCTTTTGCTTTTCATGTCATGAAACTATTCAAACATGAAAGAATAGTCTTGTGTTTTTCCACTCAAAATAGTGATTTCATATATGTGTAACAGAAACTTTTGTGGCGCTTATACTGTTTTAAGCCTTTTATCAATCCTCTGACACTTGCAATGGATACCTTCTATCTCCGTATTGTCTCCATTTTACAAAGGTACCAAAGCACAGAGAGGTTAAGTAACTTTCCCAAGGTCACATAGCTAATAAATGTTCAATTTAAGATTCAAACTCAGCCTGACTTCAAAGTCTGTGTCTTTAGTCATTGTACTGTGACATTGTCATATAATAATATGTCCGGATCTTTAACTACCTATGAAAGGGGGAGAAAGGAATATAAAAATAAATTAGCAATGTGTACCTCAGGGAATAAACAGTTTGTCAGAGGAGGAACAACTATAAGCTTACAAAAATATTAATTTTAAAAAATAAGTGAAGAATCTTTTTAAAGGGCACTGTTTGCATGGAGTGGGGTTTTGGGGGAGACTTGTTAGTGAAGGTGGCATTTGAGTTGGGCTGTGAAAAGTGGCTACAATTTGGGGATGTTGAAAGGACATTGATATTGGAAGAAATAACACAAACAGTTAAAGGATGGGGACTTAAAGGTTAATGCAGTCCTTTGTTTTGGCTGGACTGTATATGTGCTTGGGGAGGTAGCTGAAGGTACTTGGAGCTAGATGGAGGGGGGTCCAAATGTCTGGGGGAGAAAACCTGCAAGGGAATTGAGGGGCAAGGAGACTGGGGAGATGTCAAGTGTGAATGATTGAGGCATATGCCAAATGGATTTATCTTTTTAAAAAGCGTAAAGTTCATTTTTTTCCTTGCCCAGCCCCAATCTATCAGTTAACAAATCCCTCGTGTGTCTATTTTTGTTAGAGTATGTCTTTATTACAATAATCCAGCCCTCATGTGGTTAAAAATCCCCTACTATTTCTCTGTCTCCATTTCAGAAATGTACCTTGCATTCTGCCTCCAGATTTGTTTCTCTCAAATGTCAGTTTGCATTTAGAAACTTGTTCCGTGCAGGATTAAGTTCAGATTTACTCACCTGAACTACTTGAATTTAAATCTCTAAATACCTTCTCTGAGCCTTCTCACCCAAATTAGCCTGTTCCCTGTATCGACTGGCTGGCTGCTTCTTCCTTTGGACTGCTGCTTACTTTTGACCCCTCCCATCTGGCCACCCTGTCTTTTACAAGGTGTTTCCCATTCTCACGATCAAATCTTTTCATCCTTAAGGAACCCACTAAATCTTCTATCCTGTGTGATCCCGAGCCGCTTCAGCTAGAACAAGCTGTGGCTCCACTACGAAAATCATGTTGTAGTACACGTGGGAAATAAGAACTTGTTGGGAACCTTTGCCCAGTCCATCCTATAGCCCCTTTACATTTCTTTTTGTTCTCAAAACGCAAAAAAATATTTAACAGGGACACAGTTGAATCTCACAAGCGAGCAAAAAAACCCGACCAGTTGAATGTGGTAGACTTGAGAGTGTAGAATTCTTTGGATAAGGGTAAATGAGATGGAAACACCACCTTTAGAAGTGTGTAGATGTACATGGAGTCTATGTCAAGAAATAATAGCTTCATATCTCAGTCGTTTTTAAAATGAAGGTTTCTATGGC